CCCAGGGCCCAGGTACCTCACCCTTGCGGCACAGGGCCAGCTGTGGCAGCTTCCCATGGGTCAGCTCATGCCGGAGATCCACCACCCAGATGGGGATGTCCACCTGGAAGAACGGCCATGGGTGTTACCCACAGTCCCCACTGTGTGACCCCACAACTGCCTGCAGCCCTGCCAGGCTGCAGAGAACCTCCTCACCTGAGTGGGAACAGCCTTTTCCAGGCTGGTCCTGCACCACAGCCCCCCAGCTTCCCACTACAAGGGTGGGCTGAGATTCCCCTCCTCTCTGATGCCACTGCTCCTGTGGCCTAGGATCCATACAAACTTGGGAATTTACAGGTGAAATTCTTACATATTACTTGCACCAACAGATGTCATTTTAGACAGAGGTGCTATGTGTAATATAGTGAAATACTGCAAAGCAATTATTCTGGATGACAGATCAAAGACACAAATCATATCATATAAAATACCCAAATCATACACACTTTAAGTAGCATGGAATTTTTTGCGACTTTCCTAAGGACAACTAACTACGCAAGACCTTTATTTTTAAGCTTGACCAGCTTTAAAAGGTGAGAAAGCAACACATTTCTTAAAAGTCAAGCCAAAAAAAAATGAATTCACCATTCTCACAGATGGGCCCCAAACAAAGCTGCATATGTAGGAGAGTCTCAAATACTGCCTATTATTTACTGTCAAAACTTGCGGTTTGGACCCCGATGCTCAGTGAAGCTGGCAATAAAAGGACTCCAGTTAGTCCTGCTACTACAATTACACCATGAACATCCCCTCCTCCACACACAAGCTCATCACAAGCTAGAGACACAAGAACAAAATGCCTGCAAATGGGATTAAGTGCTTTTATGTATAACATTGCTTGTCAAAGACCAGAATTTATAAATGACAGATTTAGCTTTTTTCCTGTATCTCTGTAGTGAAGAAACAAAAATGTGTGGTGTATATGTCAAGTGGGACTTTTGCTCACACATAATTAAAAAACACTTTAATCATCAGCAGCCTTTGTTACTCCCAATCTGACTTTAAAGAATAAAGTTTTAGATGTAGTTACATCAGGCTTCTTCAAAGCTTTGCAGTAGGAAAGAACTAGTATGTCTATCCATTATTTTGATTACAAAATAATGACCCCCCAGAACACCCAGTATTCTTGATAGGCAATGAATATGCTCTCTATACATACATCAATTAATATTTACCTCTCTGGCTAATTGTCTCAGAGGAATGCTGACCATTTTCTGTTTCCTTTCTGTGATCAAGTTGACAAACCTGGGTGCAGTTTATAGAAAAGACAAACAACCATCAAGACCTGCATAGAAACTTGGAACCCCAGAAACAAATTCCCCCATGTGCTGTACAACACAGAAGGCCCAGAGACGCAAATGAAATCAGACTGCTGAATACCACTCTGCATCCAGGTCTCCCCCTCTCACAGCACACAGGCCTTCAGTGCCTACCTTACAAGAGCCAGCCCATAAGAGAGGATGAGCTCATGTGACTTTAATCTGCCAGATGAATCCAGGACCTTGCAACGAATCAGTTCAGCAGTGCAATCCACTGCAAGAGGCATTTTGGGACCATACCTAGAGGTTAAAGAAAAACAGCTGAACAGTCTCACAAAAGTACATTCTTTTTGCAGAAAGCCTGGTTTTCTGGCTACGTTTTGGGCCTCTCTGGTACACAACAGCCACAGAAAAGGCATGCAGAAAGACAGCACCAAAGGCTCCTTCCAGAAGGCTTTTTGTTGGAACAGAGGCAAGTGTGTTCTCACTGCTAAGCACATACACAAGGCAAGATGCCATACCTGGAGTGCTCTTGTGTATGGATGCAGCAGAATAATCACAGAAATCATAGAAAGGTCTGGGCTGAAAGGGACCTTAAAGATCATCTAGATCCAACCCTCCTGCGCAGGCAGGGTCATCTCCCACTAGCCCAGGTTGCTCAGCGCCCCAACCAACCCGGCCTGGGGCCTTGGATGTGCTCGCTGCAGACTCTGCCTTGAAAACCCCGCCCGTGAGGCCGAGGGCCCGCAGGGGTCCCGCCTCCCCTGCTGCGCACACGGAGCCCGCTC